AACATAACAACATGGCTTTACTTCCTATATTTCGTCTTCATACTTTTCTACTGGATGGTTAAGACCAAGGTAAAGCAGGACCTGTGCAACAAGAGTTGAGCTACAATTAATTATAAAGGAAGCAATTACAAAGCTCCTAGATCACAAGAACCTGGGTCTGGATGTGCTGTACTTGACCAGTGCTTTAAAGATGACAGAAAATATAGCTGTATATATCCAGGAAAATGTCCAGAAATTTCTTCCTGTGGGAGTTCATTATAAAGTAAAAGCATATGAAACTGACAATAATATTGTGGTCTATAAAAGACAGTAGTTCTTAAGAATTACCATTGTAAGGAGCCAGGGAGATGGCTCAGTAAAGCAAGTGCTTCCCTGGCAAGCGCAAGGGGCTGAGTTCAATCCCCAGTTCCGAAGAGAAAAAAAAAAGGATTAACATTGTAAAAAGACTATGTTTTTTCCATAGTTAAATTTTTTTAAATTTTTATTTATTTGGTACAGGGTCTTGCTACATAGCTTGGAATCATATGATGCTCCTATCTCAGCCTCCCCAGCACTGGGATTATAGGTGTGTGCCACCACACTCAGTTTCGGTGGCCAGTACACCCACCCCCTTCTGGGGCCAGTGAGCATAGCATGTGGTACTAGGGATTGAACCTAGGTCCTTGCACCTGCCAGGCAGGTGCTTAGACTGCCAAGCTATTTCCCCAGCCTTCTTTCCATATTAAAAAAAAAATCTTTGTCCTCTTCTAATATAAAGTAGTCATCACACAATTTTTGTACCTGTACATTGTAGAGCGCCTGATTTATTGAAATTACTGTAAGCCCTATTATAAATTTGTCTTTTAGTATAAAATGTATCTTTTTTGAGGGGAACTGGGGATTGAACTTAGGCCCTTGTGCTTGCCAGGGAAGCGCTTATTCCACTGAGCCATCTCCCTAACCCCAAAAGTATCTTGAATATATATGGTTTTTTTTACTTTTTATAGTGCTGGAGAGCAAATCCAGGGCCTTACATGTGCACTCTGCCAGTGAGTTATATGCTAATCTCTCTGAATATCATTTGAAGTGTCTTTTTGGTAATTTTTTTTAAATTTGAAAGTTTTAAATGGATTAGGATTCATTAATAATACAGCTACATGGAATAAATGTGCTTAGCTGTGGGCACACACTGTATATATACTCATTCAGTGTATGAATGATTGAATTGAAAATGTAATCTTTAAACACAGAAAATACTCATTTATTTTCATCTTGTTTTTTTTCCTGACAGATTCTATTAGCGTATTAAAAATCTGGGATGCAATACATTCTTATAAAACAGTAATAGAACTTAAAAAAGATCACGATGAACTGCTTACAGGAAAAATTAAAAAATTGGAAAATAAGTTGAGAGGACTAGAGAAGGAGCTAACAGAAACAAAAGAATTGAAATCACAGTTAGAACATGAGAAAATTCAACGAGAAAGAGAGCTTGGCAACTTAAGGTATGGTGTCCCTATTCTAAAGCAGTATTTAAACTTCAGTACTCCTGATATGAATGGAAAATTTTGCAGTTGGTGACTTAGTGTCTGTTTTGCAAGGAAGAAAACTAAATCTAGGGCTGGGAGATTGGGAGATAGCTCAGTAGAATAAGTGCTTGCCAGAGGCCCTGAGTTCAATCCCCAGTACCAAAAAAAAAAAAAAAAAAACCCAACCTAAATCTATAGTGTGAGTTCTTGGAAGTGATAGATTGATAACTGTGAACATACCTAATAATTAAATGCATACTCTTCTAGATAATAATTTCTGTGGCTATATAAGAATCTCCCTATTCAGCAAATAGAATTTTGGAGTTTTGTTTGTGTATTATAAATAATGCTGTAAAGAACATTGCTTATGTAAATAATTTTCTGTATCTTTACTTTGAATACATTCTTACTATGTTTGCTACAACGTAAGAACTTTCTTAAAAGGCCTTCAATCAGTATTTCTATAATGTTCTCAAGAAAGTTTATATTGATTTACAGCTTCTCCAGCAGTAGCAGTGGTCCCTGTCTTTGTTACTTTTGTTGCTGAGACAAAATACCCATCGCCCAAAGTTAAAGAAGGAGAGATTTATTCTGGCTCACAGTTTGTAGAGATTTCGATCTATAAATCACCTGGCTCCAATGTAAAGTGTCATGACTGAGAACCATCACAGAGGAGAAACAGTCCATGGCAAAGCAGGGCAGGCAAAAAGCAGGAAAGTGGTGAAGTAGCAAGCAGCAAGAGACAAGTGACCCATTAGCACTCTTTCTGTCCCTTATATTTTACCCAGGCTACCTGCCTTTGCTGCAGGGAGCACTCACACTCAGAGTGGAGCGCCTTTAACCCTCCCCAGAACTATCCCAAACCAGTCACGCTAATTGAGCAACCACACATCATTAATCCCAACATCATGCACTCTAGACCCTGCCACCTCTGCAAAGCCTTCACCTATGACTACATGAGGCTTTGAGGCATTTTTCTCAGCCTACAACAGTGTTGTGGTGGATTGGGTTTTTGTTTTTTTGTTTGTTTTGGTTTTGTCTTGGTTTGGTTTTGGCACCAGGAATCAAACTCATGACCTCAGGCACTGTGCCCCTGAGCTATATTCCTGACCCCTAAAAAAATGTTTTTAAGTCTTATTTTCTTCCTCTTTCTCCTTTTTCTCTTCTTTCCCTTTCTATTCTCCATTTTTCTTCTTTGTTCTTCTCTTCCATCTTTTTTTGGGGGTGCTGCAGTTGGAATCCAGGGCCTTGCACATGGTGGGCAAGCACTGTATTGCTGAACTAGACCCCTAGCTTCACCATGCATGAAATAAAAAGCCAGTGGAAAGTGACACTAATCAGTTTATCCAACTTTTCTATCATAGATAATATTAATTTATACTTCTATACTGAATATATTATTGTTTTGAGTTTTTAGATCCTGTCTTATACCAAAGAGGACTTTAAATTGCTTATAAAATTTGTAATAGTCAACAAGTAAGTTGAAATTATTTCCCCAGAATAAACGTAAAAAGCGTGATAACAGTTATTAGACTGATTACCCTTGTCTTGGGTTATAGTGACATATTGTACAAAAAAATCATCTGAAGGTACTGTCTTACGCTAGCAATCATTTTAGGGATACACGTAATATTTCATAAAAATAACATTTGTAAAGTGACTTTTTGAAAATCTAAGTTAACTTTATGTTTTGAGGACTAATGACTATGTAAAAAAAAATGTTTCACTTTCTCTTTGTTTTGTTTACCAGTAGTTGGCATAAAATTCCTCATAAAATGAGAAATACTGAGCTTTGTTGTCAGACCCCTTTTTTCTTTCTGTTTTTGAGGCAGTCTTGCCAAGCTGCCCATGCTGGCCTTATATTTGCAATCCTCTCACCTCAGCCTCCTGAGTACCTGAGTTCATAGGCCTGCTCCGTCACACCCAGCTAAAAGGAGTTTTCAGTTTGTACTTTACTAATTTCAGAATTACTTTACCATACCATTTGCCAGAGTTATTAAAATTATATTAGTAACAGAAACTCAACAGAAATTACTACACTTCAAGTATGTGTCCTTTGGAAGAGATTAAAGTGAGTGATTTAAATTATGAGAACTAGGAAGAAAAAATATTTGAAAGCATATGCAGAGCCAGATCATAAAATGAACTTTTTATTTTCTAACAAAATACATTTTAAATAAGCATATTTAATTGCAGATTTGCCTTAAAACAAGAACAGGAAAAGAGAAAAAATGTTGATCAGTTTTATGAAAGAATTAAAGAACAGTTAAGAAAAAAAGAAGAAGAATATTATCAAGAAGTTGAAGCAAAACAACAACTTGAAATTTCTCTCAGAACACAAGATATGGAATTGAAGACGATAAGGACTAAATTGAATCAGGTAAATTAATCTTTGATAAAAAGTTTCATATTGGGCTGGCCAGATAGCTCAGTGGATTAAAGTGCTTGCTTAGGCAGAGGCAGGGACTGGGATTTGATGCCTGGGGCGCTATGCTGGCCCCGCCCCCGGGGCGCACTGAGACAGCAATGGAGCTGGGCATGGTAGCACGCACCTGTAATCCCAGTACTTGTGAGCCTGAAAACAGGAGGATCATTAGGAGTCCATTCTTTGTGGTGAGACCCTGTAGACCCTGTACTAAATACATAAAAATGTTTCATATTTGTTTTATCTATAATATAGTATTTCTTTGATTTAATATGTAGTCATGTATTAAGTGTATGATTTAAGATATGTGCTGTTGGGCTGGTGAGATGGCTCAGTGGTCTAATGCACCTACTTGGAACAAGCTAAGCCAAGCAAAGCACAGGGACCGCGGTTCAATCCCCCAGCACCACATGCCAGCCAGCCTCGCCCCCTGGTGGGCTGAACTGGCCACACACAAAATAAATAAATAAAACTTAAAAAAAAAAAAAAAAAAGATATGTGCTGTTTAGCAATGTCTTCTTTTTGTTTTGTTTTGTTTTGTTTTGTTTTGTTTTTTGCCCTACTGGGGATTGAACTCAGGACCTTGCACTTGCCAGGCAAGCACTTATTCTACTGAGCTATCTCCCTGGCCCCAGCAGTTTTATTATTTTGTAAACATAATCAGGTTACCACACACATTTAAATATCCATCACATCATTGGGCAGTGTCACATGAAGAGCCACAGGTGTGTATGTGGTCCATTGTTCAGCCAAACATCGTTACATATTACATGACTGGCATTATTATTTAGGTTGAAAACAAAATTTTTCAAGGCGCAATAGCACTCTAAAAAAAAAAAAAAAAAAAAACCTTAGGACATTTATAGCTAAAAGCATTTATTGTAAATCTTTTTACCTAATAACTCAGTATGTTTTCTGAGTAAAGGAATGAAAGTTGAACTAAAGTGAGTATTTTTATATTAAAGTTAACTAACTTTAAAACTAAGAGTTTTTAATGAAAATTTATTTTACAGTGCTATCTGTGCTTATATTAATAAATGTATTTGCTCTTTAACAAACTTTAGCTGTCATTATGTAATTTAAAATTTGATGCCACACATGGTGGTGCTTGCTATAATCCCAGCACCGGGAGGTTAATGCAGACAGATCGCTGGAGTTCAAGGCCAGCCTGGGCTGCATAAGCAAGTTCAAGGACAGCCTTCACTATATAACAAGAACCTGTCTGGGGGAAAAAAAAAAAAGAAAAAGAAAATTTGTGTTACAGGTCTTTGTGCTTTAATAGACTACATTTAACAATTTTTTTCTTAAAAGTTCCACTCTTAAACTTTTAGGTTTTTTCCCCCAAAGGTGTGGGTTATAAAATATAATGAAATGTATTTCTAGGTTTTAGAAGAACAAAATGACACTCAGAGGCAACTTTCTCGGGAACAGAATGCCAGAATGTTGCAAGAAAAGATTCTAGCAAATCAACTCAGTGAACAAAAGGAAATAGAAATGGCAAAAGAGAAAATGAGTCCTGAGGTACTTTCTTTAGCCATTTTCACATGTTTGTGTTTGTACTTATTTTAAAGATCAACTACAGGCATATATGGAAAGCATGGAAGGTTTTTTTATGGAAGATTTTTTAAAAAGCTTTTTGTGTACTAAATGCAATGTACATTTTTGGGGGTGGTACATTTTGGACATATTGGATAAAGTAATATTCTTCATTCACCTCCGCTGGTCTGCAGCAGTCAGGGGTCAAAGTTATGGTAGCCTCACCCCAAGGAAAGGTTTTCAATATTTCCCATAGGCATTAGTAGTTTTTGCATTATCTTAAAATCCTTACTACTGGGGCTGGTGAGATAGCACCTACTTAGAACAAGCTTAGCAAAGCACAGGGACCGTGGTTCGATCCCCCAGCACCGCATGCCAGCCAGCCCCGCCCCCAGGTGGGCTGAGCTACAAAAAAATAAATAAACTATAAAAAATTTTTTTAAAAGTTTAAAATCCTTGCTACTAAGTTTTAGTTCAGTTTTAGGCAGTGACTTCATCCCTTTGGTGTGTTGATATGAAGGTTTATTACTACCACTATTAGGTGAAAACAAAAAGTGTAGCCAGCGGCGATGCTATTTAGGTGGTATGTCCTATTTTTGAGCATGGTGACAGTGTGCTCCAAGTAAAGATCTGGTATTTTGTTTCCATTAAAATAGCTCAGTGTCAGGGACAGGGAGATAGCAGCTTAAGTGCCTGCCTGGGAAGCGTAAGGTCCAGAGTTCAATCCCTGGTACTGGGGAAAAAAAAATCCAAAATAGCTCAGTGTCTTTTCCTGTTTCAGATTTACTAGTGAAAAGGAAATAAAAAGTTACTGCAACAACTCGGGATTTTCTAAGTAGAGTCTATAAATTTTATCTCATTTACCATAAGCAATTTGGAGTATAAATCCTTTTATATTCGTATATTTATAGTACAGAAAAAAACTAGTTTCATGAAAGAGCACTGGGTATAGAATCAAAGATGTGGGCATGTCCTGTGGTTTTCTTGCATTTCAACCTCTTTAGAAGTAGGTAACTAAATGAGTTCTTGATGTATGTGTAAGTGATTAGTGCAGTGTTTAGATTTAACATGTGTCAATAACTAATTATAACTGACTACAAAAATATTAGAAAAGTAGACTGTATAATATTTTCAGGAAAAAGGGAAAAAACTGGAAAATTTTACCTGTCACAGTATATGTTTAGCTCAGGCCCTTAATGTGTACTGGCTTTATATACATTAGATTTCAGAGTATAAACCTAATTTTATATGATCACATTTTTAAATTCTTTTACTTTGTATCTTATACTTGTTATAATTTAGGATAGAGGTTTTCCAGTTCTGAGATTCTTAAGAATTAACCATTTCTTTTTTACAATTATAGATTGTGCCTTCATTTAAATTTTTAAACTTATGCTTCTGTAAGTGCCAATGTTTCAGTCTAATTTTACTCTGTTGGATATCTCATTATTGCAGGACTTTCACTGTATAAGCATACAGGTTGCTTAATTTCAGAGGAAATCACCACATGGCATTTTATTGAGTGCTAGCTAAATGTCTCCTTTGTGTTACTTAGGTTTCTGTTTGTCATGAGGAAGATCTATTGCATAAAAATCATAGGTTACAGGATGAAATCGCCATGATTAGACTAGAAATAGATGCAATAAAAAATCTGAGCCAGGAAAAAGAAAAGAAATATCTGGAAGATATTGAAATTGCAAATGAAAAGACTGGTGACCTCCAAAGGACAATAAAACTGAATGAGGAAACATTTACAAAAACAATATTCCAATATAATGGACAGCTTAATAGTCTGACGGTAGAAAATACAATGCTAAATTCTAAACTGGAAAATGAAAAACAAAACAAGGAAAGACTGACAACAGAAATTGAATCATACCGTTCCAGACTGGCTGCTGCTGTACATGACTATGATGAAAGTCAGTCGACAAAAAGAGACCTAGAACTTGCTTTCCAGAGAGCAAGAGATGAATGGTTTCGTTTACAGGACAAGATGAATTGTGATATAACTAACCTAAAAGATAACAATGAAATTCTTTCCCACCACCTTTCTAAAGCTGAAAGAAAATTGAATAGCCTAGAAATTGAGCTCCATCATACAAGAGATGCTCTTAGAGAAAAGACTTCACTTTTAGAACAGGTACAAAGAGACCTAAACCAAACACAGTGTCAAATGAAAGAACTTAAACATATGTATGAGGATGAACAAGGAAAAGTGAGTAAATACATGGGAAAGCAGGAATCTATGGAGGAGAGATTATCTCAACTACAAAGTGAAAATACGTTGCTTCAACAGCAGTTGGATGATGCTCACAACAAAGTTGACTGTAAAGAAAAGAGAGTAGTTAATATCCAAGACCAGTTTCATGATATTGTAAAAACACTTCAAGGTGAGAGTGAAAAACAAAGCCTAATGCTGGAAGACAGAATTAAAGAGTTAATCCATGAGTGTAATCATTTAAAAGAAAGACTGTATCAATATGAAAAGGAGAAAGAAGAAAGAGAAGTAAGTATTAAGAAAGGTAAATTTTTTTCAAACTTCCTGAAAAAAATGCACAGTGAGATTTCAGTGTGGACAAATGCTTAATGTACTTGAATATAAAAGTGTTTCATTTATAAATGTACTTCCTGTGTCAGCATAGAAACCCACCTTGTTTATACCAAACACAATTTCGATCTGAAATATGTTCCCTGAGGAAATGAGTTTCCCTGTTACCCTGACCCAAGCTGTACATGTTTGTGTATGTTCTAGTCACCCTGTACCTCTGAAACACAAAAAGTTAAAAATTATCATGTCTTCATTAAACATTTTTAAAACTTACAGAGTTGTATAAAACTAAATTTGGAATGCAAAAGAAAAAAATTAGATCTGAGAGTGAGGGGGGATTCTTGTTGGGTTTTTGGTTCTGAGAACTGAACCCAAGACCTTGTGTATGTTGTACACATGCTCTCCCCCTGACTTGTACCCCAGCCCAAAAATAATCTTAACCTTTCTGTTGCTGTATTTTCAACATTATGTTTGGAAATGCTCCTAAAATGAGTATTTTAAATTAAGATTCAATTAAATGGGTTACTTTGACAGTTCATTCCAAATTTCCCAGATGAATTATAGATGCCATATGATTGTTTGTTTGGTATAATTTTATTTTTTTTACATTAATGTAACTTAAGTCTGAAAATATTTGTCTAAAATTATATATTCTTGCTGAGCATAATGGTACACACTTTTAATCCCCACTCGGGAGGCTGAGGTGAGAGGATTGTTATGAGCTTGAAACCAGCGTGGGCTTAAAAGTGAGCTCAAGGCTAGCCCGAGCTGAGTAGCAAGACTGTCTCAAAAAGACAAAAAAAAAAAAAAAAAAAAAAACAACAACCCACAAATTACGTATTCTTATGACTTACGATCTTTTTTTCTTTCAGCTCTTTAAATGGCATAAACTTCTCATTAAATCATAAAGTGGGGGAAAATGTGGCAATCTAGAGCAAAACCATAGTTTCTTTAATTTTCTTACTAGTGTTTGTCATTGAAACATTTTCCTAGCTAGCTTGTCCTGTACTTTGCCGCAGTAACGCGGCTATGACTGCTGTGTAAAGGGTGTAACTTTGTCCAACATAAAGATGATGGCAGCCATCTGTGATGACTGCCCCAACGATGCTGAATCTCCATTTTCACTGCAAGGAATGCCGTTGGGATTCAGGTCCGCCAGGAATAGAGTACTAGAGAAGAGAGTTGTGTCAGCTGAGGCCAGGAAGGCATTGACGGTGGGATTCAGGTCTGCCAGGAATAGAGTACTAGAGAAGAGAGTTGTGTCAGCTGAGGCCAGGAAGGCATTGAAGGCTGTGTTGCCTAGGAACGCACTTTTAGTATGAGTTAGGAACCTACTGGGAAGATTTGAGCCCGGGGTTGAAAATAGTATGTGAGCAGTTCTCAAGTTAAATTTGACCTCTAACAAAAATCAGGAAAATGTGTGGGATTTACTACCCCTGATCCCACCCAAATGTCAGTTTCTTTTTGAGACTTAAGTGGGTTGTTAAACATTGTGAATTCATGAGAGGAGGATCGGGTAGAAGGTCGACTCCAGTGTCTGAATAACACAATAGTGACTACGCAGGAAAACACCACTTTCTGTGTCCCTAACTACTCAGTAATGAACAGGAGTATGGATAGATGAAGCTAATTTGGAAAAATGAACTGACACATGTGGTGACATTTTTTTTAGAATATATGTGAGTTAAATATTAATGTAATATAATAGTGTGATTTATAAAATCAGTAACAGAAATATCTTCTCAGGTGGTTGTGAGACAACTTCAACAAGAACTGGCTGATACCTTAAAAAAACAGTCTATGTCAGAGGCTTCTCTGGAAGTTTCATCTCGTTATCGCATTAATTTAGAAGAAGAGACACAAGAGTTAAAGAAGAAATTAGATCAAACCAGAAGTCAAGTATGTATGAAATTTAACATGTCAACAGTCAGCCTACAGCTGCTTAAATAAGATACCCTGCTTTAGGATACTGATTTCAATAGAGAGCTTTTTTATTTTCATGATATTTATTATAAATTTATTATCTTTACACTATGTTACTCTTTCTGCATTTTTCTTGCAATTTTCTACATCTTTCTTTAAAATATCTTACTTGGGAAAGTTGAGAATTACAGAGAAGTTGAGAGACTTGTTCATGTTAAATAGTATTTTTAGTGACATCTCTTGTCATGGTGATATGATCAGATACAATCAGAAGATAATGTTTAACAAAATATTTCAGAAAGTTATCTTGTTTCTTGCCTACACATTTGTGAATAAGAATCTTCACATATTTGTATCATGGATTTCAAGATAAGTTATTTAGAAAGTGTTTTCATATCTCACATATACAAATATTTTAGGATACAGATATTCCTCATTTAATAGCCTACCTGTTTCACGATTATTCTGACTTAGCACTGAGGCCTGCTGTTCAGACTTATGGTAGACCTCTTGGACCTACAACCCCCTTTTTTTTTTATTTTGTGTTTTTGGTATAGGGTTTCACTATGCAACTTGACTCGTGGTGATCCTCCTGTTTTCAGCCTCCCCAGCACTGGGATTACAGGCGTACACCAGCACACTGTCCTTGGCTCAGCACATCTGGGGGGCGGGGCTGGTGCAGCATGCAGGGGACTGGGGATCGAACCCTGGTCCCTGCACTGGTCAAAGCAGGTGCTTAGTCCACTGAGCTATCTCACCAGCACTTCCATCTATTTTTTTGGTTCTCTACATCTTGTCTAGAAATCCTCAAATTTTTTGGTACAGTATAGTTTGTTTACAGAGTACTGTAATTTTTGCTGATTGTACTGTACAAAACAGTATTGTAGCTTTATGTTGTGTTACATTACAGTTCTGCATATAAGAATTATGCAATTATCTGGGCATTGTGATGCACATCTGTAATCCTAGCAGCTCAGGAGGCAGAGACAGGAGGATCATTGTGAGCTCAAGACCAGTGTGAGCTGCAGAGCAAGCTTACAGCCAGCCTGGACTGCATAGCAAGATGCTCTCAAAAAGACAAAAAAAAAGAATTATGCAAATAAAAACAAAACAAAGTTTGGGGTTTTCTTTGACCATTTCTTTGTTCTAAGTATTGTAATATACATATATATAATTCCTTATTTAACAACATTCCTTACAAGATTATAATTCAGTTGTTAAATGAAGAGTTTGTAATTTGAGAACTATTTTAAAAGTTATACTTTTCTTGCATTTTAGACATATAATAAAAGTATGGAAGTAGGGCTGGTGAGATGGCTCAGTGGTCTAAAGCACCTACTTAGAACAAGCTTAGCAAAGCACAGGGACCGCAGTTCAATCCCCAGCACCACATGCTGGCCAGCCCCGCCCCCTGGTGGGCTGAGCTGGCCACACACACACACATACACACGCGTGCACGCACACACACATAAATCAATAAATAAAATTTTTTTAAAAAGTATGGAATTTGAGAGACCGCTGCGCCCGTCCGTTCGCTGCCACCCACCCGAGACACAGAACATCCAGGCATGGATAAAAATGAGCTGGTGCAGAAGGCCAAACTGGCCGAGCAGGCTGAGCGATATGATGACATGGCAGCCTGCATGAAGTCTGTAACTGAGCAAGGCGCTGAATTATCTAATGAGGAGAGGAACCTTCTCTCTGTTGCTTATAAAAATGTTGTAGGAGCCCGTAGGTCATCTTGGAGGGTTGTCTCAAGTAT